GGTGTTACACTTTTTGCACTGATGTTACACTTGAACTACACTGCTCTCAGCCAATCAGAATCGAGTAATTTTTTCATTTTTATTATTATTATTATTATTATTATTATTATTATTAATATTAATATTATTATTGTGCCCATGTAAAAAAATTAGAAATTCCTAGGGGGGTCAAATTTAGATGAAGCACTTCGATCTTGAAATCTTGGGACCAAACTACATTATTTTACACCCGAGGCAATATCAGAGGGGTTCAATAATATTACCACAGTCCAAACGCAATTCTTTTGCCATCCTTTGTATCCTGGTCAATATGTACACAGCACGGCAGAAATCTTTATACTTCAAGTCATGATGCGTCTGAAGTGAATAATCAGCCAAATGAACTATTCCACATTTCCAGCGCTTTGGAAGATCAGAAAATACCCAAGCCTGATTAACATTTTCTCTTCGGGCCCAGTAACAGAACCAATAGTCTGGATTGCTCCATGTTTTTAAAAAACCAGTGGGTTCATCTTCCACATCCAGGTTAAAATAGTTAAACACATACATTTTAGAAAATTGTTCTGAAGATAGAAGTTCCTGGAAACAAAAGAAACATTAATTTATTGAGAACAACAACAACAATAACCATTTTATTTTGCATAATACATAGAATATCATTTAGCAAAAGAATACATCAAACTTAATAAGCAAAAAAAAAACCTACTCAAAATAGTAAAAACTAAACGAGCTGAGTAGTTACAAGAATTATTACCCTTTAAATCGGTTGTAGGAAAAATAAAGAAAAGAAGATTTAGAAAGAGAAAAAATATATATAGATATAAATATAAAAAGAAATATAAGTAGTAACAGTACCAGTTATAGACAGAGCATTGTTAAATTAAGAGCAATAGTAACTTAAAGAAAAATACTAAGCTAGCATTAAGCATAAGAACTTAGAAATTGCTTAGTCAAGGTTTGTTTAAATAAACGTGGAGAAACTTTTTATCTCTTCATCCAAATTGTTCCAGATAGAAGGACCAGAGAAATGTATGTATTGAATTTAACCATAATTAGTTCTAACCTGGTCGATATAAAGCAAGATTGATACAAAGGTCGATACAAAGCAATTTACAAACGTCAATACAAAGCAAGATCCAAGTTGAAGAATTTAACCATTGATGACATTGGTCTGGGCAGACAAGGAGAAAACAAGATCTTTATTCAAGAAAGCTTAACTCCATCTAGAAGGGAACTTTTACATAAATCTAACGAATTCAAGAAGAAATTTAGGTTTCGATATATCTGGTCCTTTTATGGAAATATTTTTCTTCGTAAAGATGATGCCATTCCTGCAGTTAAAATTTGTTCCTTGAAAGACCTGGCTAAACTGGAAGCAAAACTAAAGCCATCTCTATCGACTGGAATGGAGGAATGTTTAACTGTTGCTCAGATTTCAAGTGCAGATTCAAATGGAACAGATACAGGATGACTTTCACTGAATGACTGGTATAAATTATGAAAATCTACCTTGCCTTCAAGTGATTTCAGAGCTAAATAACATTCCTCAACTTACAGAAAGCATTGATCAAATTGAAGCTTTGTAATAGTTGCAGCATTACTTACCTTCCATAGTTTGCAAACCTGCATACATTTGCAGACTTCTGGGACTGGTAGAAACAGAGCTATCCTTTTAACAATCTCTGGCAAAAGATTGGGTATCTCTCCAGTAGCCGTTAGCATCGCAAGGTTTTCACAGTACAGTTTTGTAGTAAATATGATATCTCTAATACAAAGCTCTCCATAACAAGCAATCTGAAAGAAAAACAAATTAACATTTTTATGAAATTTTATAAAGGCACTATGATTGTCTTTAAATTCAAGTATGACAGTACATCATTTACAGCATATCAGGAAACTATCAAATATCTTTACCCTCCCACAGAATATGTTTTGGTTTGCACCCTCCAGCCTTCTGTAAATACTAGCTTTGCTTCATACTTTCCTTCCAAAATTCTGGCTATTGAGACTCTTCACCCACTCAGAATATTTTATATTATTAATTTCCGTGTCTGTAACCAATATAAATCACGCTCTGATATTGATTTGCCTTTTCTAGGGCAGTATTCTCTCGTAATGCCCATGGGACATTGCCCAGAGGCAATAACAGGTCAGCAAAAACAAATCAAAAAGCCATAAGTAATAAACGACTTATTACCAGTTAGCTCAAATGTTCGGTCTTTACAGCAAAAATCTCAAACCTCAGCCTTGCTGTCATTCGTCCAATATGGCAAGGTCTCGGTCTGAAGTTTTCCCTTAAAGACCTTAAAGTAGTTAATAATGAAATTGTCAGCTCAAATCCCAAAGTAAACATGATCATTTGATAAGTAATTTAGACAGTTTCATGCAAACAGCCTGTGCTACAGACACCCTCGCTGAAAGAGAAAATCAGCGAGCGTCCGTGTGTTGCCATTAATAATCGTGTCCCATGTTTAAATATTTAATCCATGCACTGAAACCATTTCAGTGTCACAACAGCTGATGTGACACACAGAGACAACAAAGGAACTTGCTCTCTAGATGAAACAGTTAATGACCTTTGAGAGTTCACAGATAAAAAAAAAAACAGACACCTTGTGGAATAATTTTGTTGCCATAAAATACTGATTACGTCCATTAATCTGCCTTTTTCAACCTTAAAAATTCTAAACCTTGATCTTACCCACAAAGTGTAACAAATTTCCATTTTGGTGTCCATGGCCAGCCCTCAAGATATTCGTCAGTGTAGCCGATAAAATGTAAAGCGCTAAGTTCAACAAGCTACAAACATCACCGATCAACTAAGCAGATCATTTTCCACTCCAGGAAAAATCACTTGGCCTTAAACGCAATTACCAACAGCAACACACAGATGCTCTCTCCAAATTTTTCTTCTTTCAGGGAGGGCGACTGTAACACAAGCTATTCCATGCACAACATAATTAACAGGCAATATGACTACATGCTGGTCCAATTTGATAATAACTGAACTGATCAGAGAATTCCTCTGACTGCCAAATTGGACCAAGTCCAAGCCTTATATAGCCCCATCAAATTTTGAAAGTCCTCCAAAATTATTTCCAAATTTTACAGCACGCAACCCAAATCTGCATATACACTGTATACTAATTACTCAATTATATGCCACAGGATGACCATAACAAGCTAAATATCTAGGGTTCAAACAAAACAGAACTTTCCTTGTAAAAGTGAAATTTCAAGTGTGCTACAGCACCATTATGGAGATAATCTTTTAACTTTGTCAGAAAGCAGAATTCTTTACGCGAATTATCTATAAGGCCAGTTAACCCCTGGAACTAACGTCAATGCACCCAGTAAAGCCACGTCAAGCACGATCGCAAAAATCCGTGGTCTCAAGAGAAATACAAAACAATAAAACTCACCACACTCTAGCAGTCATGTTCTTCATAGGCTAGACCCAGTCTCTCAATGAGTCTGCTCCTGCCGACCGAGTCCCTTGGGACTAGCAGCGCATAACGAAACGAAACGAAACGACACGAAGACTTTTATTTCACCACAGTCAGTATATCATCAGAGAGGGAGGATGCTTTCAAACGCTTTCTTCACTCGATTGTCAAACATAAATTCGCAAAGCCTTGTCTAGTGTTTGGATTTCGGGCGAAATCAATATCTCAGATTTGAGACCGATTTGATAAATACCAGAAGGTCTTAGAATTCTGGGATAATTATAAACTTCTGTAACCTGGAATGAGCTAATCGTACCTGCATTTACCTGTATTTACCTGCTTGGAACGCTTCGAAGACATATCAGGCTTCCGTTTTTGGTCTTGCCATGGATATTTTACTTGACTTTGTGATATGGTTAGTCAAAATACCGTCAGTCAGTAATAAAGCAGATATGGCATTTCCAGTGACTAAGAGCGAGTTTGATAAGAACATAAGATCTCTGAAGTCCTCGATTTGGATCGGAAGAATCAACTGCTACAGAGAGAAATCGAAAGAGAGCAAAAGTGCGCAATTTACGCGCATTTGCACGCCTTGAAAATAATCTCACGCTTTGGATCTTTCTTTGATATTTATTTATTTCTTGTTGCTTCAGGTTAGCGTCGCTTCAGTTACAGCGAACATAGATTACAAAGTATCTCTAAAATCTAAACATGGTTCTGAACAATTTACAAAAGAGTAAAAGTTGAGATCTTTTTACCTCCTTAAGGCTGTGGAAAACCACCTTAATCGGCATGTCAAGAAAAATAAAATTTCAGTATAGTTGACACGTGCAGGGGCCAAAATTGTTAATTTTCCAGACTTGGTATTGTTCTTGTATCATTTACAAAAGTGCCAGTTACAGTGACAGCCTAACATCCAAAAAATTGGGTCCCTGGTCCCCTATCTTCGATCCCCGACCTTCTATCCCCGAGCTCCTATCCCCGAGCCCCTATCTCCGATCCCTGATCCCCGATCCCCGATCCCTGATTCTAAGTCCTAGATTTTCAATCTTCGAGACTGTTTTTCCAGGAAACAATGATTTTCCTACCACTGCATCTAGCATCCAAGGGTTCAAAGGTTCTTTTAGAATCTAATTACAAATACTTTTTCGGCGAATGTGACACGTTTAGCATGTGTTTTCTTGCCTTTGATCTTCATTCTGCTGAATAAGATGTCATAAAAATCCAGAGGCTTGAAGATGTCGATCTCCAACTGCTCCATCTCTGCGTCTGACAACTTCTGAGCGTTCTCAGTCAAAGCTTGCGATTTCCTTTTTTCCATGAAGTAACTAATACACGACGCGGTTCCATTCCAAGTACTTGTGCTAATCTTCTCATCGCCGCTTTGTTCGGCAAGATTAGAAACAGTAGACCATCTGTTAATTAACCTCGGTTGGTTTTCTCTTGAATTTTGAATCTCGAGAGCCTCTAAAACTGTGCTGCACTCCAGTGAAGACATTTCTCTTGAATATTTTGTTTTGGAAGTTATACACGAGAATGCGAAGAACATTCAGAATATAATGTCAGAAAACTAGTGACACTACAAGCTTTATAGCAAAATTATTACGTAAACAACTTTTATTGGGTTGTAATTGGCAGTAATTACCACAAGTAATTGTTTTACTAATTATTTCATTGAGTTGCAGCATTCGATCTCGGTATTTGCAAGGACGCAAAAACTTGTGTTTCGACCGTATCCATAAAAAATGAAACATTTTCATTTTTTGAAAATGTAAGCATACCAGCGACAATCAGAAAACGCGTAGCACTCCATCCCTTATTGCGTAATATCCGTCCCTTATTGCGAAACATTTGGTAAGAAAACCTTCAACTGATTATATTATGTTGATTTCTGTTCACGTCACAAGCCAGTTGCGAAACGCTCCTTATGTAACTATTTAGGCAATTTTAAAACCCCTTTGATGATGATGGCTCCTAATAAGGATGAGAGTTAGGCTATCGTTACGGCAGTTATTCACTTAACTAGTAGTCTGTTAACAGACCCTCCAGTTTGTCTTGAGTTGTTTAAGGTCACAAGCTCAGGAAAAATTAACCCGGCGCGTGGGATATGCGCGCTAGAACGCAAGGGGGTGGGGCTGAGGAAAGATCAAAATTTAGCCCGCTTCGCGGCCGCTCTCGCGCGCTCAAAGAAAAACAACTC